GGCCTTCCCCCCCCCACTCATTCACTAAAGGGTTAAAATTCAAAGTAAATAAACAAACCACACTTTTAGAAAAAATCCTTTAATTGAAAAAAAAACTAAAGGGTCAATTTTTTAACTATTCCTTTCATTTTAAAAAATGGCTCCATCGATGTATTCCAGCGTCAATCACGATGCACAACGCCCGTCGACCCGCCGAAATAATTTTTATTTTCAACTTGGGGGTCCCTCCTAACATTCCTACCAGACCTAAAGGGTCTGGTATCAATTGGGGGGACCCCACACTTTTTTCTGTTTTTTTTCTCTTCTGCAGACTGTAAAAAAAATATATATATATTTTTTTTAAATGTCACTTTGCTACAACGAAAATCCGTCCACAAACAAAAATTCGTACAGACTACCGCTAACGAATTTCGTCCGAATCGCGAAACTAATTAACTTTCGGACCCAAATGCTCAAAAACGAAATAACGCAGAATCCGAATCAAAACTAAACTAAACAAATTTTTTGTCGGTGCACATGTCTACTGAATGACTGGAAATGTTGGCATGTGATTCACCCCAATGGTTTCTACCCAACACACAAGTGTTTTTGTTTTATTAACAGAAAGCTTTCTGAACTAATATCCCTTTTTTTACCAATATTCCACAGATTTCTTCTCAAGCTGCTAACAAGGAACTGGAAATCGGCTGTATTCAGTGCACTTCCATGGCTGAAAGATACATCTGGCTTGTTCTCAGAAAACCAATGCTTCTCTTAGATATAGGATCTTTAACATGCCTGCTAGCTGTTTCCAAAAACCATGACAATTTTCTGTCCACAATGCAGCTCAGCAGGTTTTTCCCTAGTCCTCCTGACAGGCCTGCACCCAATTTGATATCTTCTGCCCCATGTGCTCCAAGATGGAGACTCTCATAGTTTAGAGTTAGGACTGCACTATAAGAGGTGCCTTGGCGCGGCAGTGCGGCTTACACATCCTTTGCAGAAGACGTGTATCCAAACCTCTGTCATTGTCCTTAGTGGTGAGACAAGTTGTTTTACATGCTGGTTTGTGAGTGTGCCATGATGCCTTTCTACTGTTCTATTTTCCCTAGTGGGATCCCATGCAAGATGACTGGATTTTTTAATCTGCTCCTTTATGGGGAAAGCATGCATCTCCCTGAGAAGCATTCACTAAATGGCAATTGGAGCCCAAATCTGCAGACCCTTACTGTCTACATTGGGGATTTTACAGGGTTTACTTTAACAGTCTTGAGCACCGCTTGCTAATGGGTCCTGGCTGCAGAAAGGAGCAAAAGGAGAGAAAAGGCACTAATAAAATTGGGAAGGTGAGAAGCACAGCATAGATAGCCATAGTGGGTGAGAAGTGCCTAGGTCTCATGCAAGCCAAACTTGCAATCCTAAAGGTCCAGACTATAGCAATACAACATTAAAGTAACACACACACGTTAAACATTATCCAATTACCTTTGCTTCAAATCCATTTCTTGATGACTTCATCTCTTTAACATAACTTATTGAGCAATCTGAACTAAAAGGTTTCCATTCCCAAAAGAGGTTAAACATCCCTTTTAATCCAAAAGTGACATTGTTTGGAGAGGAAACATCTGCAATAAAACCAACAAAATGTGAGCTTTTTTGTAATAGCAGTAAAAGACACAATTCATTCAAACTTTATCAGATACGGAGGAAATCCATACAGGAGAAGTTTTTGCACTGCTGTATAGAGAACGTCTGAAAGATTTTTACTGAGAGTAGTTCTTCCACTAGTTGGAAGTATTATCTTTAATGCTTTTATAATGTGTTGTTCTAGTTAGTGGAACTACAAGGTTATAATGTAGTCCCTGTCCCTGTGTTCCTGTTGTTTCCAATAAAAACATACATGTGCCTAAATACTGTATATGTCCAGCAACATCTTGGCTGCTAAAAGCCCCATAGGCTTCAGTTTTCTAACAGGTTATGGGCCCAGCTACAGCCAAAGTACTAAATACTGTTGCAGATAAAGATACATCTCAGTTACAGCAAATCAGTGTCAGAATATAAATAATGCAATTGATGGAGGTGCCCTCCGCACACCTTTCAGCAGTCCCGGCCAACTTTAATATAAGTTTCAATAGATGCAAATTGTCCCGGTGGTATATCAATCATGGAAATTTAAAATAAGGGTGCTGCTGATAAGACACAGAGAAGGATTCAAGAGCCCTTAGGAAACCACATACTGATAAGTAGACAGACAAAGATCAAAAAGCTGAAAGTACTGAATTCTTGAGCAAAGATGATACATTTCTACACATAATAAACTGTAAAACTGCAAATAAAATGTGGAAAGAGGTACAAAATTTACAGGAGAAAGCATATCTTAGCAGAAAACTGTACTTAATCATAAAGTTATACCAGATGAAAAGCCAGCACATGCAGGACTATATAAGATGTGCCTTAGAAATAAGGGAATACCCATGAGCAATAAAAGAAAGGGGAAAAAAGTTTTTCATATAGCAGCCCTGCTACTTAGTGGTCTCCCTGACAGGGACTGACTGGAACGCAAGCTTGTGGATTAATATAAGTGAAAAACAGAAAGTGAAATGGCTGCTACAGCAGAATCTGCATTAGAAACCAACCAGCTTAAAAATAGCAATATGCAGTGTAAAACCCATGACAAATGATAGATCATCTAAAGGCAAACTGCAGAATTTGGAAAGCTAGAATGAATCATAAAAAGTGACAACTTAAACAAGAAACAAACAGCAAATTCCACTGATATAGAGTGGGCCTTTAACTTTGAGGTTATCATTTTTCACCTGGTGCATTCACTCTAGAGCTCATGCAAGCCAAAAGTCATATGACCGATGATATAAAAAGACTACGGAAAAGAAAAGGTATTTTCATACATTGATTGATGACTACTCAAGGTATACTGTGCTCCACCTGCAAAGATGAAGTTTCAGATAACACTTAAACAATTTCCCAGTTGCCCTAGTAAACAACAAATTTGGCAAAATGCCCAAAAAATCTCTGCCCAGATGATGGTACAGAGTACAAAGGGTATTCTGAGGTAGCATGGAATTATGTTACAGACTACTGTATTATATTTTTCAGAACAAAATGGTGTTGCAGAGAAAACTACAAAGTGGTAGAAGCTAGCTTTTTGATATGGATATGCAAACAAAATACTCAGGAGTGGCAATCATGACAGCCTGCTATTCCAAAAATCATTTACCTGGAAAAGCAACAGAGAAACCTCTATGTGAGCTATAGAATGGTAAGAAGCCTTACCTGAAACACATTAAAAATATGGGAAGCAAAGACTATGTACATGTTCCTACAGAAAAGTGCACAAAATGGGAACCTTGAGTATAATCATAAGCTACAGTGAGTCTTAAAGGGTTTACAGAACTCTACACCCAAAGGTCAAAAAGGTACAATCACCAGAACTGTAATTATTAATGAAACGTCTATGTGCCAAAAGCTTCATGAAGTGATATACTCAGCACCATCTGAACAACAACCTTATCAAGAAGCCCCACCAGTACTGCAGGGAAATAAACAGAACATCATTGAAATTTAAATTGGCATCATTATTAATGTATCCTCTATTGTGCTTGAATACTGTGAAACTGAAGGGATGATAACGGATGTTATGACAAATCCACTACCAAAGCCAAAGTGTGAAGATCTTCAAAAGAAGATGAGACTTATATAAGTAGTTGTTGAGTGGGGGTTTTAGCATTTTTATTATAGAGACATAGATGCAACAACCATTCTAATATATAATAATGCCTTTGTTCTTTACAGTAGCGCTTATGATGTATTTTCCTGCCTCTGTGTTTTTGTTGTTTCCAATTTAAAAAAAAAGTGCTCAACCATTTAACTAACAATATCTTAATTGATAAGTGTCATAGCTTCAGAGGCTTTCCAAACACATATAAAACTTAAAAGAGAACTATGAGGGGAGTAAACATCACTCACCCTCATAGTTCAAGCCGGCGTGTGACAATGAAACTGTCAATCGATCGGGAAGTGAGCAAACACATACCATCGCTTGCTCACTTCTCGATCATCTCCCTGCAGAGAGCAGTGACTGTCAGTCACGGCTCCCTGCAGGCATTTCCCCGCTCCGACCCTGCAGAGCTGAGTGGAGGAACGGATGGGGGTGGGGGCGGGTACAGCTGGCTCTTCCTCTAGATAGGAAGAGCCCGCTGTCACTCGCGCAGCTGGGTGGATCTCGACAGCATGGTCAGGATCCGTCCCGTCTGCGGTGATCTGAGTATACCGTGAGCTGTAGCTTGCAATATACTGAGCTTTGGGTCACGGGAGGACACTAGTATATGTCCTCCCGTGACCCTTAAGAGAACTATTAGGAAAAACAATTACCCCATTGTGACGGACTGAACCGTCACTGGGGCTGCTGGAGGAGCCTGAGGGCTAGCCTCCTTCCTAGAGACTATGGACCTAGGACTATAGAGACCCCCCTTGTGGGTTAAACTGGGTGTCCGGGGACCATGGACGGCTGTTGCGGGGGAGCAGCAGATCAGACCAATCCCTGTTTACCCTGTTTCAAGTCCTCATTTGCACGGCCAAGAGGACCTAAGTGAGGACTAGAGGATACTTTGCAGTTGACCAATAGGAAGGTGGTCGGTTGGGCCACCTTCAAACTGTTGTTTATAAAAGTGTGTGTGCGCATCCAATAAAGGAGATTCCTGTTTGAACTTACTGTACATACAGCCTGCCTGGTGTTTGTTCTGAGCTATCACCACTGGATTGGAACGGCACAGAGCTGTAGTTTGAATCCCAAATTATTGGATGTCCGAAATATCAGACGCTGCAGTCTGAAATCTAAGGAGTGCCGGGAGAGTGGAACCGAGCGAGCAAGGGGCTTGTTACACCCATAGTTCTCTTTTAACTTAAAGCTGACCTCCGGGCAAAATATCTTTCATTTAAATATATTCCTTAATAGCCACAATAATCCATTTCCTGTGCACCAAATACTGTGCAAACTCAGAAATTACTTTGTGAAAGCAGCATTGACATCATCACTGTGCTGTTCATAGCCTGTGGAGAAAGCAGAGCTGCAGGAGGGACCCACTAGAGGCTGCCTATAGAAAACTATAGGAGGATAGATACTGTACAAGACTAGTCACCCCGCCCAAGGAGAGAGCAGCTTCTGCACAGAGGTAAAGTATCACGCTGCATTACTGCACAGATCTGGAGGAAATACACAAAGTACACCAAGATTCATGTAAGAATGCACATGCCTCTTGTATTTAAACAATAATTTGCTTATTCCAGTGTTCAGCTTTATACACTGAGTGGCCAGTTTATTATGACCACCTGACGTTTGTAGGCAAATTGGCTATAATTAGCTATAATTTCGCGCTGAAGTTGCTAGAGGGCCAGACCATTATAAATAGGGAAGCAGGTTGTTTTACCACGACAGTAGAAGTGATTTTTTTCTGAAGATATGGGTAAACAACGGGATTTAACAGCCTTTGAACGTGGGATGATTGTTGGCGTTTGGAGCCATGGAGAGAGTATCAGCAAAACAGCAGAATTCGTTAAATGTTCAATTTGTTAAAGTGTTTAAAGACTGGACTTTCAGACGAAAATCTGGGTCTGAACGTGCGAATTGTGGCCGTCAGTGACTAGTCAATGTTAGGGCAGAACGGAGAGTGGCAAGACTGGTACAAGACAACAGAAGGGAAACAGTGCAGTGTCAGATTCCTCGCATCACCTTTCAACATCTCGTGGAGTCACGAGGCAGCCCAACAAAGTCATCTCGTGGCCCAACGAAGTACTGATGGGGTGGTCATAATAATCTGGCCACTCAGTGTAGATTAATTTAATAGACTGACTTTACGCAGTAGCAGGGTTTCCTGGATTACATTAGAAATTAGCAGATTAATTTTACTAGATGTCTGGAGTTGTAATCCAAAAATGTTCTGTTATTTCACAAATTACATTTTAAAGTCTTTTAAATCAGTTAACTTCCTGCAAGAACACAAAGAATCCTGCTTGCAGCTGGCAGCTTTTGCTACATATTCCAGAAAGTCTCCCTGCTGGGAAATGTATGAGTAGGCAGACGTGGTGATCTGCTCACATATGCACTGGGCTCTGCATTCCTTTGGGATGATTTTATAATACCGTGCTGTGCTATACAACAAAAACAACTCAAGATAGTATCCAACTCAATGGGGAAGCTTTATATTTAGGCCTGCTGGTGTCTTAGTTTTGAGATCTGAATAAAAAGAAAGTATGTAGGAGCAGGGACAGATTTACAATTTTCTCTCACTGGGATCATTTGCCTTATGCCTACCCACTCCCACCCCTGTTGGCTGGCTAGCCTTGGTACCACACTAGGGGACCATTCACACTGGGCGATCTGGGATTCCTGCGGCAGGAATCCCAGATGTCCCATTCAGTGACATTGACTGCATCTGTCAGTGGCAGTCCGCATGTAATTATACATGCAGTTTGGGATTGATGATTGTCACCAGATGCATCTATATGTTATACAATATGCTACAAATACTTGCGTACCACTGCTTATAGATGCGGCCGCTGTCACCCTGTCATTTACTTGAATGGGCACAGTGGCCACATCTGAACAGGGGCACCTGGCATTCCTGAATGTCAGATCACCCTGTGTAAATGAGGCCTAACAGGGTCAGCACATCATACAACAAAGCACACCAAGGCTTGGAGCATAAAGGCTAAAAGGAAAGTTTGCCTAGTCTGTGGCCATCCACCTAAACATAAAACATACGGGAAACTGTTGCCCTATTCTGCTACCAGTTAGGATCTAGATGTACGGTGTACAGCACTAGCGCCTCTAGTTGGCACCAACAAGTATGGGAAATTCCTATGCCCATCAGCGCCATCTAGGTGTGCTAGTGCCATGCAAACAGCATCCACCTGGTGGAACTTTCATAAATTAAAATGTCCCCAAAATGTCTGCATAAAAAAAATGTTTGCTTTTGGATAGAGTAGAGAAAAGTTGAAACCAATCAGGGGTTTTATCTGTCTTTGTCCCATTCAGGATATTTCCCTTGACTACCTTTCTTGGAGATACAACAAGAAACAAGAATAAAGCTTTCCAAAGAGATGGTAGACAGTTGTCATTACATCATTATGATGGCTATGGTGTTGTCATAGAAATCAACTTTTTGTTACTTGATACCTTTAAACCAGAGTGTTACGAAGGACAGTCTATCATCAATATTTGCCTTTTATTATGGTGAAATTGGTCTTTGTGAGCAACAAATAGAATTCTGAGAACTCCTAAAACAAGTAATCAATTAATGATGCAGTTGAAATGATGATGCATTTCCCACAGACAAACTATAAGCAGTAGTTAGCTGGTCCACTGAGACTTACTATGAAATGGCGATCGGCAAAACATCCTCTTGAGTTGGCTTGATTAAGTTCCTCTGGTAAAATGGCATTGTTTTGCTACAGTTAAACTTCCTGAACCTCTCCATGATGCATTCAAATAGTATGCACAGCCATGGCATGTAAGCAACTGTTTTTCAGACCTTAATGGATTTGTGCTCCATTAAGGCCAAACTGTATTGCAAAATTAAGGTCTAACAAAAGTGGTTACATTTTTATCAGTTGTTACCATGAAGCATGGTGTTAATGTTAGAAGGTCTCTTACTAGAGGAGGCAAAAAGGCATTCTTGCTTCGCCTTCTATCTCCGTTTAAGCCAACGTCCTGATCCTGTTGTATTTCCACAATTACAACACACACAGGGACCATGGGGAACAAAAGTAACCACCCTCCAGAAGAAAGGACAGTGTCAGCACAAATTCAGAGATGACATGGGCACTTCTCATTGGCTGCCAAGTGGCAGAGTCCTCCGTGGTCCCCGCAGAAAGATGAGCTCATGAGTCTGCTACTTCCTTCTCTGTGCAGGCACAGACCAGGGGTAGTTACGAGATCTGTAAGTGCTACTTAACTACAGCAGATCAAAATCACCTCTCGTGCCCTGACAGACAGGTTTGTAGATAACTTTGAAGATAATTACCACCATTTCCAAAGCTAAGCCACATTTATCATACCATTATCTAGCATGGTTATTGGCCACTTAGGTGTCCCCTTTAGATGGTGAAACGGCAGGTAGAGTGAGCTTCCCCACATAGTTACTGCTCTTAGGCAGGAGTTTTAGTGTGAAAACTAGATTCCCTTTAAAATGGACTGAGACATGTGTCTATGAATGTCATCTTTATTGAATCATCTGCATACTTCAACAAATACGGATATACAACCTAGAACACCTAGAAATAGTTACAGAAGTATAAGACTGCACACAAACAGCTGCCATTCTAACTTCCTGAATATGATTCTTTCTTTGGACTGGAATTTTTCTAAAAGTTTTGAAAAGCTATTTAAAAAAGCGTTCACATTTACATTAAAAAGAACCTATCAGGATAGAAATATTGTCACTGCTATTGATGAAATGTAAGGGGCAGGCTCTGGGCTGTTGATGTGGAATTCCAC